TCAATAATGTGAGTTTTTTCTTCCCCACAAAGGTGATGTGTTGATAATTCATTCAGTTTCCTGCATAACTATACTCAAATCTTCCCTTACCTAAGGTCTTTGTTTGCTAAAACTATGCCTGGCTGCTTCCTTCCCATTCTGTAATTGGGATCTTGTACTGTTGCTTTGTCCTAGCTCTACCACCTCACACCTACCTTTAATTGAATTACATTCTGCTTTTGTAACCTCCAGCCTTTCATTTTCCAAGGTCGTTAAAAAAAAGTTGGGGTTTTTTTCCTGCTCTTTTCCACAGCACAAGCTATTTGGCTGATTTACCACCATCTGGATATTTGATAAACATATCCAATACATCTGACCAGGCCATCAATAAAGGTATTAACTAGAACCAGTCTGAAGACTCCTTCTATTTGCTTATGGGACTCCACTGGATAGATGTCCTTCCTGGCCCACAGCACCACATTTCTTACCCTTGACAGGCATAGTATTTCTTCCCAACAGCTGTCAGATGAGTCTACCTAGGTCACTGTTGTCATCATGCCTCTATATCCCAAGGTCCTTCAACAACTTATTCCACCTTCCCAAACTTACCTCTCTATAGTATTGAAAAGTAGCATGACACCTAGTCTCATCACTGATAAATAATACAACAGTAGGCATTTCTGTTGGCTTTAAAATTCATCGCCTCCTTCTTCCATTTAATTCTCACAACACTTCTGTACTACAAGTATTATTATCCTCATTTTACAGATGAGGAAACAAAATCAGAAAGGTTAAGTGATGTCGAGGCAGCTGGTGGTACAGTAGTTAGAGCCTTGGGTATGGAGTCAGGAAGACCTGAACTCAAATCTGGCCTCAGACACTTGCTAGGTGTTTGACCCTGGGCAAGTCACTTGTCCTCAGTTTCTTCATCTGTAAAATGAGGATAATAATAGCATCTAGGGTCGTTGTGAGGATCAGATGAGATAATATTTGTTAAGAGCACTCAGTGCAGTGTCTGGAAAGGAATAGGTGCTATTTAAATGCTTATTCCCCTTCCCTTCCTACTAGTCCATGGTTACTAAGTGAAGAAGAAATCCTGCCACAGAAGATTTGAAGAAAGAGAAGGAATTCTGCCAAAGTTGAGATTTGAACCCAGATCTCATATGATTCTAGCATTCCCTTCACTATAGCTCTTTGTACCCACAACCCCACAAGTAAAATATCACTAAGAACACAACTTAGATCATACCTGCAAGTCAAGGACACAACAAAATTTTACTTAAAAACAAAATAAAACAAAAAACAACCAAAACAAGCTAAGATTTATATAGCACTTACTATGTGTCAGGCCTTGTGATACCTGCTTTACAATTTTTATCTCCTTTGATCCCCACAACAACCCCAGGAGGTAGGTGTTATTATCATCCCCATCTTACAGATGAAGAAACCGAGGACAAGTGAGGTCTTGTCCACAATCAAACAGCTAGTAAGTGTCTGATTCCATATTTGGACTCAGGTCTTTCTGACTCCAGGGCTGGCATTCTATCTACTGTGCCACCTTGCTGCTACTACGTTATGAAAGAATTTGTTGTTCACTTATTTCAGTAGTGTCTGTCTCTTCACGACCTCATTTGGGGTTTTCTTGGCAAAGATACTGGAGTGGGTTGCCAAGTCCTTCTCCAGCTTACTTTACGGATGAGGAAACGGAGGCAAACAGGGTTAAGCGACTTGCCCAACGTCACACAGCTAGTATCTGAGGGTGGATTTGAACTCAGGTCTTCCTGACTCCAGGGCAGGTGCTCTATCTATTGCGCCACCACTGCAATTCTGGAAGAACTGCAGAATACAAACTATGTACAGTTGAAGACTATCCAGAGTACAATGAAGACCACTCAGTATGCGCAGGTTTGAAGCGCTAAGTAATTCTTTCCAGGTGCTTCTTGTAAACCATTCCTCCTTTAGTCCCTGCCAGGCACCTTCAACAGTTCGTAGTCCTTGGTGTAACAGCTCTAGCTAATTCATCCATCCCAGTTCTCCCCACAAGTCCCAAGTCCAGCTACCACCTTTTAGGAGTCTCTGAAGGAATATGTTCTTTTCTTATTTGGGTACCAGGTATCCACTAACCCTTTCTACCTCCTAGTCCAAAGAACACTGAGTTCATAGGCACCTGCCTCCCCACTTCAGTAAGTCTTCCCCGGGTTTCTTCCTGCTCTAGGAATTCTGGTCTTTTTTATCTCTTTTCTTCTGTCCCTGACACAATTCCTACTCCCTTCATCAAAGATAATTGGTACTTCCTTCTTTATTCCATTTTAGGTTATCACAGCAGGCCCTTTCTTTCCCCTCCACTTAACAACTGCCATTTTGGATCCCTATTTCCATCCTTAGTCCTGACTTTGGTCTACCACTCTCCTTGAAGGCTCTGTGCCCTGTCTTCAGCTAGTATTAATATTCCTTCATTTTTTCATTTTAGACTCTTTAGCACTTCACAGTTATAATCCTTGAATGGAAGCAGGCACTGACTCAGATGAGTCTCCTCCTTTGTCCAGACTAGGCATCACCTTCTTCTATGATATTTCTTTCTAGGTTCACAGAATATCCTAAGGCAAGCTCCTCCTTTCTCCATTTTGCCCAGGAAGTCTTCAAGCTATTTTAGCAAATTTTTTAAAACAATAACTAAGATCCCTACATTTAATATTTTAACACAGACATTTATGACCCATTATCTGAAGGATTGTCACTAAGTTCACAAATCTCTTCATTTTTTGAAGGGGACAAGTCAGGATTGAAAAAAAAATGTTGAGGATGGAACAGTATTTGCAACAACCATCCACCAAAATAATCTTTTTACTTCAGCTAAATAAAATTGATGGCTAGCTTCCCTATTAATTCTGACCTATTCTGATTCCGTCTTTTCATTCATGTCATAATACTTGGAACCTTCTTCCCCTCTCTCAATCTAGCCTCATTACTTTCCTCACATCCTAGCAAAAACTGTGTCATCCTTTTCTTCACAAACCCCCTATAACCACCCCTCTTTGAGAGACAGAAAGACAGACAGAGAAGGAAGAGAAAGAAGAGATAGAAAGAGAGAAAAGAGAGAGACACACAGTGACAGAGAGACAAATACAAAGACAGAGATAAAGATAGAGAGAGACAGAGAGAGAGAGAGAGAGACAGAGAGAGACAGAGAGAGAGAGAGACAGAGAGAGACAGAGAGAGAGAGAGACAGAGAGAGACAGAGAGAGAGAGAGAGAGAGAGAGAGAGAGAGAGAGAGAGAGAGAGACAGAGAGAGAGAGAGATCTTGCTGCTTCAGACAGTCCAAGAGACTCCAGGTTTAAATAGTCTCCTCCCTTTGTGGGAGAACTTATGTTTATCAGTAAACTATTTGCATGAGAGCAAATTCTGCTTTGAAAGGATAGAGGAGAGAGATGAGATTCTGCATTTCAAAGACAAGAAAGATGGGGCAGCTAGGTGGCACAGTGGATAGAGCACTGGTCCTGGATTGAGGAGGACCTGAGTTCACATCCGACCTCAGACACATAACACTTACTGGCTGTGTGACCCTGGGTAAGTCACTTAACCCGATTGCCTAACCAAATAAACAAAACAAAACAAAACAAAACAAACAAGGACAAGTAAGGGATCTTCCAGTATAGGAATGAAAAAGGAGATTGAAACTTCACTCCCCATCCACTCCCTTGCCAGTTTGGAGACACAAAACCAAGTCCTAGAGGAATTAACTGTCATTACCAGAACTCCTCACATTCTCTCTCCCCGCCCCCACTCTGCCACAAACCCTCCGCCCTGCCACCATTGCCTTAGTAACCCACTACATCTCGGCCAGGGATTGAATGGGCTATAGCTAAGACTCGGGGGGGGGGGAACACAGGATAACTAGATGGCTCAGTCAGGAAGACCTGAATTCAAATCCAGCATCACTCACTAGCTGCATGACCCTGGGCAAGTCACTTAATCACTGTTTGTCTTAATCCACTGGAGAAGGGAAAGGCAAACCATTCCAGTCTCTTAGCCAAAAACAAACCCTGGACAGTATTGGCATGCTATGGTCCATGGGGTTATGAAGAGACAGACATGACTGAATAACAATTATTATTATAAAAATTGTTTGACCCTGAAGTTCTGAGAGAGTCTTGAGGACATCCAGAGGTTTGAGGACCACACTTTGAGGACTATTAATGGAGTGGGAGCTTTGATTTGAACTCAGGTCCTCAGTTTCCAAATCCAGAGTTTATTTTTTTTCCATGAAGCTTTATGATTTTTCTCAATATGTGCATTTCTTTTTTTTCCCCCTCAAGTAGTTAGTAAGTTCCTGAAGCAGGTATGATGATTCTATATTAGCTCTTTCCAAATCTCAAAGTATACAGTACTGGACTCACAGTAAATTCCAATAAATGCTTACTGAAAGAAAAAATAACTACCCATTAGATACAATACATAAGATACTTCTTCCCTCCATCTAATAATGAGTAGCACAGCAATGCCAGACTTCTTTGTCATGTGTCATTCATTTTATTAATAAATACTTCATTAATTTTTTAAATTTAAGTTAATTTTATGAATATTTGCTTGGACATTTATGCATACCTTTATTAACTATTCCATTTCAAGTCTAATGGTAGACACGCCAAAAAAAAATTTGAAAAGACATTTTATTATACATTATCAACACTTTAACCCAGTTTTTTATGCTCAAATGCCCAGACTACAAATTTAGAGTGGAAAAAGGCCAAGTACTTACTGGATTCATTTTGTTCCATCCGGACAAGCAATCTGAATAATGCATAGGGATGAGTAACCCCATTCACCTGATTTACTCAGATTAGCTGGTGAATTGGGGTCCAGACAGCCAATCACAAAATCCTCCCTAATCTCATGACAGGAATTCTGTTGCCTTAGATTCCACTGCACAGCTTATGATGGAAATTTTATTTCCACACAGAATCCCAAGAATCAGGAAGAGCATGTTTGTAGGGCAGTCAAAATCTCCAGGATGACTTACCCCATCCTGAGCTTTCACTAACAAATCATAGGTGGCTGGATCCCTCTCCCTGTCAATATCTTGAGACACACAGATGTGGCCAGAATGCGGGTCAATCCAGAATGCTTGAGATTTTTCAGAGCTGTGGAATCCATCGTAAAGAAAGTATTCTATATGGCCGTACTGGCCTGTGTCAGCATCCGATGCTTTCACCTGCAAGAGAAACCAGAAACTGAATGGCAGGATGACCAAATGGTGCTCCTTTTACTGATTGTTGTCAGAAATAGGGCAAACTCTAATCGTTGCTCTCAAGGAGGAAAAGCTTAGTTTCTATAACCCCTCCAAATGGCAATATTTCAATACTTTTTATTAGTCTGATTTCATACAAGGCTGACAAATCATATAATAATTAAGAACTTGATGAATATTACTTGCATTGGATTTGGCTTAAGGAATGAATAACATACATACTCAATTGGGTATGGAAATCTATCTTACCCTACAGGAAAATAGGGAGGAAGGGGCTAAGGGGGAGGATGATAGAGAGGAGGGCAGATTGAGGAAGAGGGTAATCAGAAGCAAACATTTCTGAGGAGGGACAGGGTCAAAAGAGAGAATAGAATAAAGGGGGGTAGGATAGGGTAAAGGGAAATATAGTTAATTTTTCACAACATGACTACTATGAAAGTGTTCTGCATGACTACACATGCATAACCTGTAACGAGTTGCTTGCCTTCTCAATGAGGGTGAGTGGGCAGGTAGGAAGGGAAAGAATTTGGAACCCAAAGTTTTAAAAACAAATATTAAAAATTGTTTTCACATGCAACTAGGAAATAAGGTATACAGGCAATGAGGTATAGAAATCTATCCTGCCCTACAGGAAAATAGAAGGGGAAGGGAATAAGAAAAGTGGGAGAGATAGAAGGGAGGACAGATTAAGGGAAATGGTATTCAGAATGCTTGCCATCTTGGGGTTGGGGGAGGGATGAGATGGGGAGAAAATTTGGAACTCAGAATCTTGTGGAAGTGAATGTTGAGAACTAAAAATAAATAAATTAATAAAATTGGAGGAAAAAAAAGAAGAAAAAAGAACTTGACACTGTCTCACAATAAACAAAAGGGCTGGAGAGAAGTCTGTCTAGGTCAGAAAGTATATATACTCCATAAATTCAAAAAACATTTATAAAGCACCTAGCTTCTGAGATAGGTATATTGTTGTCAAAGTAGGAATAAGAAAGACACAGACCCTCTCCATAAATCATTCATAATCTAGCTGTAGTGACAAAGAAGGCATACGAATAAGCATGACACAAAGTAGAATGAATGAATGAATGAATGAATGAAGTATTTATTAAGTGCTTAGTGTATCTTTATATCCTCGGGCACTTAGCACAGCGACTGGCACATAATAAGTGCTTAATAAAGGCTCGTTTACTGACTGACTGTGAAGGATGGTGTTGCCTGTTAGGGACAAAAAAAAAAAAAGCAATGATACTCTCTGCCCTCAGAAGCTTCCATTGTAAAAGGGGAGAAAACACATGCAAAGTAGAGATAGTAATTTAGTTTAGAAAATCACAGGGATGGTGTGCCCTGACAAAAGCAAAAGCATAGAACAGTTTAGAGACAGGAAAAACTACTTCCATCAGAAACCATAAAAGGTATTTGTTGAATGGGTGGCATTTAAGCTGAGCCTTGAAGGATGCACAAAATATCAAAAGGCAGAGATAGTAGGGAGGACATTTCAACATTCCAGAACTAAGGAAAGGCAGGATAGATCCAGGAAAGAGGACTGGAATATGTTTAGAGAATGGCAGATAAGTAGCCAAGTTGGGCTAGAGCCCAGGATACATAAAATGAAGCAGTGTGAGATTACTATGGAAAGGTAATTTGGAACCAGGTTGTAGAAGGCATTAAAGGCTGGGCCAAGATATTTGGACTTTATTCAATAATCAATGGGGAGCTATCAAAGGCTTTGAAGAGTGGAGAGAGAATAATAATGCCTTATCTCTCTATAGTTATAGTGCTTTAAAGTTTCTATAATGCTTTAAGGTTTACAAAGCATTTTATAAGCATGTATACATAGGAGACATATTTCATTTATGCTTATAACATTATAAGATAATAACTTCCATTTTTATAGCATTTTAAAGTTTTTAAAGAACTTTATAAGTATTATTTCATTTGATCCTCTCAACCACTCTAAAAGGTATGTGCTATTATTATCCCCAATTTAAAGATGAAAAACTGAGATTCAGAGACCTTAGTAACTTGCCCACAGTGAGCACATGCCTGAGATAGGATGTGAATTCAGATTTACCTGGCTCCAAGGCAAGCACTCTATCCCCTGCATCATACTGCCTCTTTGTATAAGATAGCTACAGCAATTGTTGTTGTTATTGTTATTATTAACCCCCAATGAACAAGAAACTGATTCACAAATGGGTTAAATAACTTTTTGTAAGATAATTATTGAGATTATTATTGTTATTATTATCATTATTATTACCTCCATCTATAAGAGAATGACTCTCAAACAGGCTAAGTGGTTTGCTTGTGATTTTACCCCTAGTAAAGGTCAGCTGTGGGATTAAAACCCAGGTCTCCCAGCTGACAATTTAACCATGTGCTTCCCATTTCATACTGTGCTTGTCTCCAGCCCAATCTCTGGTCTCCTCTGCAAAGAGGACGGGTCTCTTCCACTAAATGATAAACATTCCCACACCCATTCAGACTCTACACAAACTAGTGATTCTGAACCCCTGTAGCGTATCCTACAAACCCCATCTCCCATATTCCATAAGCAACAACTTTCCCTTCATGCTGAATCTTTTCATCTCCCACTTTCCATCTACTGGCTATTACTGAAACTGCCTCCCCGGGATGACACAGACTTCCTGGACACTCCTTCCAGCCTTAGCTGTATTTTTACTCATTCCCTTTGGCTTGGTCAAGTGGGGAATTAGAATAGCCCTTACTCCTCATTGCCACTTTCAGGTTATCACCCTATTTCTATTACTCAAAAGCCTCTCTTCAGCACAATCCACATCATCTACCCAATCAAAATCCTGGCAACTGTTGTCTGCAGACCTTCAAGTTGCTCTCCTTCCTTCATCAATGAGATTAGTATATGGCTCACACTTTTTCTCTCCCCACCCCCACCCCAACTCCTGCCTTCATGCTAAAATACTTCAACTTTTATACTGATTCTCTCTTAAACACCCTAACCATTCAGTTCCTCAACTTACTTCCTATAACCTATTCATTCATCCCATTGCCAGTCACATAAAAAAAAAAGATGGCCATACCCTTAATCTTGCCATCAACCCATAAATGTACCACCTCCATGTTCAAGAATTCTGAAATCCCCTTATCTGATCATACTCTACTGGCTTTCCACCTCTCCTTCTTGCCTTCCCTTACCAAACCCAGCTCTGCATGCAGTATCATGACTGACAACCCCTTGACTCCCCAGTTCTCCCCTAGGCCATCAACCTTTCACTAGCCATTCTCTCTTCTTTTTCCCATTTTGACTGTTTTGGCAAACCATTTCAACTCTATACTGTCCTCCTTGCTTGAATCTCTAATGCTCTTTCATCAACTGTGCCCTGCCAGTCCTCACAGCCTTGGATTGCTCCCACCGTTCACCTTCACTCCTATACACTTGTTACTGAACAAAGATATAGAAAATCATGCAACCTTTCTGACTGGGTCCACTACAAATTTATGTTCCACAACCTTAACTGGGCTCTCCCTGCTGCTAGGAAATCCTACTATTTTTCCCTTGTCAATTCTCTAGACCACACTCTTCACAGCAATTCTTCCAAACCTTTTTCCATCCCTCCTAAAACCTCCCTCTTCCTTCCTCTCCCCCCAGTGTCCCAGTTAAGAACCTTGCCTCATTTTAATAAAATAAATTGAGGCCATTTGCCATGAACTCTCTTTTCCCCACTTCCTTATTTCATATCAATAATATGCCTTCTGCCATTATGTCCTTTTTAACCCTTGCCTCACATAATAGAGCTGCTTTACTCCTTACCTGTTCTACCCCTCTACCTGTTCAAATCTCATTCCATCTGTCTCCTCCATCAGACTACCCCTTTTGATATCCCCATTCTTTCATTTATTTTCAGTTCCTCCCTTTCCACTGGCTTATTTCCTACTGCCTACAAACATACCTATGTCTCCCCTATCCTGAAAAAAACTCTCACTTGATCATTCCATCCCAGCTAACTGTTATCCTATTTCTCTTCCAGCCTGTGTGGCTAAACTCCTCAAAAAGGCTATCTATAATAGATGTTGCCAACTTCCTCTCCTCTCACTTTCTTTTTAACCTCTTACAATCTAGCTTCTAACTTTAACATTCCACTGAAACTACTCTTTCCAAAGTTACCAATAATCTCTTAGTTGCCAAATGCAATGACCTTTTCTCAATCTTCATTCTCCTTATGCTCTCTGTAGCCTTTGACACTTCCAATCGCAGTCCTCCTTGATACTTTCTCCTCTCTAAGTTTTTTGGACATGCCTTTCTCCTGGTTCTCCACCTATCTATCTGACCACCCCTTCTTAGCCTCCTTTGCTGTATCCTCATCGAGATCCTGCCCTCTACCTGCACACAGAGTTCTGTCCTGGGCCTTCTCTTCTCCCTGTACACTATATCATTTGGTGATCGGCTCCCACTGATTTAATTACCATCTCTATGCTGACCTAGGAGTCATCCAGGATTCTTCTCTCTGCCCTCCTCATATTCAAGATGTTGTCAGCACCTGTCAGTTTCACAATTTCACCTTTCTAAGGCCCCTTCTCCTTCAGATCTGTGATCCTTTAATCTCCTTCTTCAGCCATATGGTCTTTCAGTGAAAAAATGTGGTTAAAGAGGTATGTAAGCCCATTGACCTGGTAGTGGCATGTAAGATAACATGAAAGTTACAAAGTTGAGATTTTGAATGAGGGACATGCAATTGACTAGAAAGGAAAGTACACAAAGAAAGTGGTGTGAGCTGTGGTAGGAAGGGCAGATATAGTTGGATTCTGGAGGGCCTTGAATGCCAAACTTAGAAATACACATTTTATTTGATAAATGCAAGGATACCACTGAGGTATTTTGAGCAGAGGAGAGACGTATAAAGAAAGCTCATCTGGCTTTGTGAAATGGGAAAGAGAAGAGATTAGAGTAGGAATACAAGGAGATTATTTCTATACTCCAGACAAGTGAT